TTATTTCAGATCAAGAATTTGTTCCAATACAATTGAATCAGTTTCAAACTATCAGAAAACTGCACATTATCTCAATTTGATTATACTGTGCTATAAAATTTTATAATGCACAGACTTTTGACAATCACAAACTGGTTTGAAAATATGTAGGAACAAAGCCCTAAAAATTTCAGATTTGTCCTTTATTTTATTTAAGAAAATATTGTCACCGTACTTGCGGTGTAACTACTCATGGAGGTATAATTACTCAAGTACTCACCGTAGTGACATTCGTGAACATGATCATATTCGCGAAAAATCCCAGGTAATATAAATTCTCGAAAAATATGTTTTATTGCAATACGAAAATAGGACGAATAAATGGTATAATTAAATTTGATTGCCCTTTGTGCAAGAAAATATAAAAAACTTTCCCTTATGTCGCCTAGCATTCCCACTTTATATTTTTGTACATCGTAATTTGCAAGTACATAAATTTCCGCGGAATATGCATATGATATATATTGCGTTTATGATATGCATGCACATTTTACAGAATTCAGCGCAGGCAACAGCATAGGAAAATATACGTAGGTGAGCAGATTTTTTTTGGGTATTAAAGACAATTTTTTTTTTAGATTTAAAGATAAGTACCAGTTATATTTTATTTGCGTTCCGCAAAAAAGTAATTTTTCGACGTGTAATGTAAAATAATGTAGAATAAAATATTAAAAAACATTATTCAGCCCCACTAAGAATAAAATTGAAAAGCTTAAAGAAATATATAAATACATGTATTCGTTAACAATCAAAAGATACAAATCATGCTAGCTTCTTTAACATCAGCATAAATACTACATATATTTGACTTACAAGTAGATATATTTGACTTACAAAGATCTATTACAAAAAAAAAAGAAAAAGGAATTCTTAATAGTGCATAAAAATTTCCGAAGTTTAATTTTTGTTATACAAAAAAATGTTTCCGTATGAAAAGCTAAACAGCTCGTTTAAAATTAAAAAATAAATACAATTAAAAATTTTAAAAATTAAAATTAAAAATTTTGTTATTATTCTACAATGTTATATTATATTAATAGCCAAAAATCTACACTAAAGTAAAAAAAGAATTCTATAAAGATCAACAGAAAATTTCATATTAATTGGCATATTAAATAAACTCAGAAAGCAGCAATTTCGTCAAATATTCGTTGCATAATGACTGCAACCAATATTGTAAAAATGCAACAAAAAAGTATAAAGCACAAAAATGATAATAGAAACAATACACAAACACAATGTATTATTCGTATTGTATTGTCATTATATTTTTTGGTGATAAAATATATAACAGAATGACAAATAAAATTTATTATTATATTCAATAATATTTTCGTTATAAAAGTATTTATACGAAGATTTTACGAAAATATAAAAATGTCATTCTGTAAAGACGTTTAAATAAAATCTGGTGAAAAGTATACCAATAGAAGTAACATATTTAATCTGATTTGGCTGAATGGCGATTTTTTTCATATTATTTTATGCGCGAAAATATTTTTTAATCATTCCTAAATCTCAATTAGATAAAACTCTTTATAGTAAATTTATATTAACAATCGTGAAAAAAAATTTCTACAACTTCGAAATATCTTTATATATTTTATTCTCACAATATTTTATTTTATTTTTATTATTTATAAAAATATTTAAATCGTTACATTGTATTCATGCACGATAATAAATTCTCAAGCACAAATTTTAGAATAGAAAAGTGTTTTGCATGCATGTCATGTAATAAAATAATCGATATACAACATAAATTATTGCATTTATTAGCAGTTTACATTAACTAGATAAAAATAATAGCTTTATTTTTATATACACACAGTATTGATCAGTTTATATCCCTACACATCTGCTATTCAAAAGCACTTGTTTACTAAGAAATAAAATAACAATATATACAAACTCACCCTTGAGAGAGATTAGGCTGTTGGGTGAGACTCTCAGCTAAAATATCTATATTCTTTTTCTCCCCTGCATCGTCGTTGGTAATCGTCTCAAAACTAGCAGAGACTGTAGCTTCTTGCTGTAATATATTAATATATAATGTAATAAAAAATATGAAATAAATATATGTAAATGGAAAATGTAGAACAAAATTTAAGTATCCTTATACGTATACCATTATTATGCATCTAATAACACATTATACATTTAATAATATATAATAGTAGACATATCATTGCTTACATTTAATATAAGAGAAATATATTTTTCGTGCATATACGTAAATAAATATCCTTATATGAGAAATTATATAATGTGATCTTACTTGGCCATATAAATTGTTCTGGTTAGTCTTTAATGTCACTGTTCCAGTTTCAGCATCCAGTATAGACGAAGACTCAAAACTTTCATGGTCCTCATACTTGAGCGTAACGTTACTGTAAGCCCCGTAAGTCTCATTCTTCTCAGGATGGGAAAAAGAATCTTTGGTTTGTGCGCTCTCCGAAGCTACTATCAGAAATAAAAGTCCACTGCAACAGAAAAAAGTAGCCTAGTATTATTATCTATTCAGTAACACTGTGTCAGTGTTGCATAATGCAACAGCAATTATCTTTTACAAAAGCATGATAAAAAAAAGACCAATTAAACACAATCCTACCAAGTTTTATCTCTGTCCATAAAATTTAATTTAGCCTGAATCATATATAAGAAATAAATTATATTCAGAAGTTTAATTCAACATTCAATCAAATTGCTATTTTAATAATCATTTAAAAAACCGCATCCGACGATGTAACAAATAAAATTTAATTATAAACTTTGTCAAAATAAAAAAATATAAATACATTCTACATAAGTTATACATAATTTTGTCCCATCACGTTATCAGAATCTTTGCTCAAAAATATTCCAAGACAAATGGCTCGCGGGATATTCACTGATACTCCAGTAGTTGTCAAAAACTTTAATTTGCTGTACAAAAAAGTGTGAAAAAGAACGAAAACTTGCGCAAGAATTAGCTTTCGCGTTTCCGATACGACCGTATCGGATAAACGAAATTGCTCGTCGCAACTTGAATTCAATCGATTCATACGTTCATACGTTCAAACGGATCGGCACCGATGTCTTACCTGGACACCATCGATATCAGGAGCAGCGTCCAGTACGCGCACAGCACGCGGGGTTTCATCCTCTCCTTTTACGGAACGCCGGCGTTGTTGTTCGTCGCATTAGGAGCGGCTTTTTTATGTCACACGTCGTCGCTTTTAAACGCACGGGAAACAGTATTGCAATCGACGACGAGCGACGTCGACGATGATGACCATCACTACCACCACCACCACCGTCGCCACCACTACCGTCACTGCGAAAATCTGACGTGGTGTATTATCGAAAAACTTCCGGCGCCGAGCGGAATCGCGAATCGCCCATCCGAGGAGGCGAAGGCAGGGACGAGATACTTGAAAGGAATTTCAATGGGCAGGGAGCGCGACGCGAATCATTATCAGCGTGCGTGTAAATCTCCACGCGAGAAAAATGGGAAAAAACATCACGAACAGTTGCACGCCCGCGCGAGAAATCGTGACTGGTCGTGACTGATCGTGAATAGTCGGGAACAGCTGATCGCGTCTGCGCCTTGCGAAATTTGTGAATCGTCCAGGCTGCGTTCCGTTACGCGCATAATGCATCATTTATCCTTGTTTAACATTCGGTGAATAACAAGGATAAAAGATGTATCATGCGCATCGTGCGTGAAACGGAACACAGCCCCAGAGTACACTTTAGGCTGCGTTCGGAAATATCACTCGAGTATCCCCATGCATATATACCGATAAACACGTCTACTAAACTAATAAATCATAAAATTAGTACAACCCTGGTGAAAATTTTTTTCATAATTTTTATACGAATTGGAACATTTTTCAGAAATACTCAGAAATATTCGGAAAGTTTACATCTTCTTTCAGAATTTTTCATACGAGTGAATTCTGAAATATTCTGAAATTTCTCATCCTATAATTTTTAAAAAATATTTTTTAATTTTTTAGATTTTATAATATTTTCATCAGAAATTATACTTAGAAAAAACTTTTAGAAAATCTTACGATATTTTATAAGTAACATAGGTATATGAAAAATTCTGAGAAGAGATGTAAATTTTCTGAGAAGTGTGCCAATTCGTATAAAAAATGTGAGAAAGTTATAATCATACAGAAATTCTGAAAAATTATATGAAAAATTCTGAGAAAAATTTTCACCAGGAAATATTATCAATTTTTTTACTCTTAATCACTTTAATATCAACAAGGACGCGAACTCCCGTAAGAATGTCGG